TGTTTGACCCGTAAATATTAGAATTAAAACAAAAATAAAAGTCTAGTTAGGGTGCTTTTATTTACCTTATTAAAAATTAAATCCATATATTACTTTGGTAATTATTTGTAAAATTGTAAGATAAAGTATACTGGAGATTTGGATTAGGAAGATCAAAACAAGTCATAGCTTTAAAAATAAGCAGAGCGGTATAAAGGCAGTGACCACAGACAATTCATCTTGGATAGCTATGTGATAGGAGTTGATGCCCATGCCCACTAATATCCAACAAATTCGAAAGGTACATGTACTATTAGATTTATTCTACTATTAGGCAGGGTCGATGAGGCACATTCATCAACTTTGAATGCAACAAATAAATATTATGCAATTTTGACCTTCTACAGAGAAGTTTGGGTTTTACTTGAAGCTATATATGGACTGCTGGTTTTGAGGTGTAAAAGCGTGGGAAGTTTTCGCCTTAGAGGCCTAATCGATGGGGTAGGGATCGCCACAATTCAAAATGACTCGACTCATTACAATCTCAGCTCGCGTTAGGCCATGTATGATTAATTTACCGCAGAGTGTAAATATACATAGTAAAAAACCATAAATTAAATGGCAAGATAGCACTATATAATACCGATTAGGCTATACATAAATGTCATATATAAAAGATTGGTATGACACAAAATTTCACACAAATTAGAATGAGTGACACGATGAGAAGATTTTCAGAAAATAGTGAAAGATTGAATGATTGATACATTTACACCATTTTTCATACAGTTGAGTAGAAAATAAATGAAGAAAATAGAAGAAAGCAATTTCTTTTCCTTTCATAAAATCTTAAGATGGATTGGTAAGATCTAAAGGAAACATGGAGGCCCATTTCTTCACAAACCCCCCTCTAGAAGTCTAGATTTCTTAACCATTGTATCCAAACACATTTGTTCTCCATTTGTCCCAAAATATTAATCAAAAAGCACATAACGATCACTATTTTACAAAACTCCAAGCGTGTCGAACGGTTAGGGATGATTGGAATAAATCTTTTATCAAGAATGTTGACTGATAACCAAATTACTCCGTACTACTTATAACTTGAAACTTTGTGCATAAGCAGGGCGTAACGTTTTTCCAAGGCGAAGAAGATAGTATAGAATACTTAGGCCTTGTTTGGTTGACATGGGAATTAAATTTATATAGGAAATTATATTTTATAGGAAGTTATTTCCCTAATGAAATTCCTAGGAATTTCTTAAATTTATTTGATTGGTAATGTAGGAATTTAGAAATACCATGAATTTTGATTGACCTAGGGGGTTAGGTAATTTACTTCCCTTATTTTTGTTTTTTTGTGTCAACCAAACAACTCCTCAATTTTAACTATAAGAAATCGAATGTTTGGGACTTCAAATTTTGTACACCAAGTTCCACATTCCAATAACGTTCTAATGTAAAATAACAATTTTAATTTGTTAATAAAAGTTATCATTAGTTCATTTGTGAGCGAAAATCCCAAATAAACGAATGGTCACGTACTCACATACACGGTTATCAAATCAGCTGCTTATAACTTGTAAAGTCATATGGTGTGCCCTTTAAATTTTCTGGCTGTCCACATAAACAAGAAGTCACATCTAGCCTGCTAGCCACTCTGCCAAACTTATAATAAGGCTTACAAATTACAATTCTAACCATGCAATTTTCATGGCCAAGATACATTTTTTGACTTTAATTTGTGCCATCGTTTTCGATTTGTACCTATCCGATGTAACAACTTGATTTAGAATAACTAAGACAAGAGATGTATTGTGCATATGGATTTATTGATACGTGATGATGCAATTTACTCAACAGATTGTCTAATTATTTAGATGAGTTTCAAGAGAGGGTCATAAACTCATAATTGACCTAGGTTTATTTTTTTTTAAAAGAGGACAAGGATAACTCTCACTAGAGGAAAAAAAAAAAAAAAAAGAACCAACTCGTCTTAATAAAATCAATTGAAGACACATATTGATTTTTGAATCTTTGGTTCTAGTTCAAACAAATATTTTTGTTTTGGAAATTTAATGTTAATTGTATACAATTGAAAATTTTACTTGTATATAAATAGTATTGAAAAAGATTAATCAGAACATGTCAGCTTTGAGGTCATTAGCCCGCTATTTATAATACATGTAAGGATTATTCACACAATAATCTTTATAATGACGTATTTGTCCTTTTTATGATGCGACGTAATTATAATTACAAGAAAAATTTAATTTCTCATCATGTTTTTGGACTTTATGAAGGTTTAGGAGTGAAAATGGTGGAGATTGTGAATGTTGAGTTTAGTTTGTTGAAAGAACATTGATCAAACATTTTTGCGTCATTTGTTTATTGTTAATTTGTGACCTTAAAAAAAATTACAAACTAGGTAGAGAATGGAGATAGATTGAAACATGTCACATGTACTTCATTGTTTTGGGCCTGAACTTTATGTTACTTTAGGCAACAGAAACTGGGTCAAGTTTCATAGACCAAAACTGAATACTCTAAGATATACAATATACTACCAAATTATGGATGGGCCAAAGTTTGGAAAACCCTGGGCCACTATATGGGCCAGTGGGCCCATTACCGGATCAATGTCCGTTTTTTTAGAGTTGTGACCCGGTCAAGTGGCCTTATGGGCCATAGCCCAACTTTTTGGGAATAAAGTTGTAATTACCAACTTTTACATCAGTACGTTGTAATAACTTTGTAAGTACATATCCTCTTATAATGCATTCCAACTAATAAATCAATTAATTACTGTTATGGTTTTCGTTCTACGGAGTACATATGATGTAATTTTACAATCTCTTACATTCTCTTTTTTTTCTTGTGCTTGTACAACATGTATGAAGATGACAAAGGGTGTAGCTTTATAATCGACTATATGATTAACATCTTAACTCTGAGCTTGCTGACGATATAGTTCTAATCAAGAGTACGAATGTACAATAGTTCATAAAATCAAAATTCATATTTTTAAGTATTGTACTCATATAGCTTTGTATCATATAGTTCTAATCAAGAGTACGAATGTACAATAGTTCATAAAATCAAAATTCATATTTTTAAGTATTGTACTCATATAGCTTTGTATCATATATGGACAAAATTAACCAATTGATTGTTGGTGTACTAATAATTAGGGCTACATTTGGTAGGGATGACCGCGTGTTCAATCACCCGCAACAACAATTGGGAGGGGAGTGGAACCTAACCACCCAAAACTAATTCTCGAATCTGGATTAACCCAAAGGGTGAATCGGGTGGAACACCCAAAAAAAAAAAAAATATATATATATATATATATATAAAATTACATAACCCTTTGGTTAACGTAATAAACCTACCCTAAAATCGAGGGTAACAACTACTAGGTTTCTAATTTATAAAGGCAATAGATTTGTTTACGTGATAGGTACCCGAAAATTCAGCAAGATATCGATTTGATTACGCTAATTCTTCACTCCAACAATGAATGGAGTCTAGTTTTATTTTTTATTTAATTTAAATAATAATATATATATTTTTTTTGGCACAAGTACAAGATCATAAAAAGTGCCTTAAAGTTAGAACATAAAACAAATCATGTGACATTTGCCTACAACACAAGGGATAATGAAACTAAGCTATCGGATTGTAATAATGTAAGCTTTACTAAACAATCATACATAATTTAATATTATTCAAAGAGGAGGCATATAATATTAACATAAGTGTAATACTTTTGAATATCTTGATTAAGAGATGATTACATTTAGGAGACAAGAATTAAGAGTTCAATTAACCTATGCAAACTTTGATAATTGGGCTATAATTAAGTCAATAGGGTTGTTATAATTGAAGTTCTAACATCCGCCGACTACCACTAATGAAGATACACTACAAGAAAATTGTCTTTTCGTAACGATTTTACATTCGCTACAATATGCACATATGTTTGTGAAATAGTAGTGGAATCCGTATCATTTTACAATCGACATAGTAAACCCATATGAAATCGATACGGAAAACATAATAATATTTATTCACCATTTTTATGCACATTTATAAAATTATGGAAAAGCGTATCGTTTACAATCGCCACTAAAACCCAAATACAAAAAGCCTTTTTCACACTAGATTTTAAACTTTTGTTTGACAAAGAGAACATAAAATATGTCTTAAAGATATAATATTAAAGCTTAAGTTTGCATGGTTGAATTTGTATAGATCATATGTAGGGATTTTTTTTTTTTTTTTTGTAGAAAATGAGTTCAACATTTGTAGCGATTATAATCGCTACAATAATCACCATGATTGAATGTTGTTTTCCGTATCGATTAATAAAGACAACTCTAGTGAAAGCGAAAAACACTACTAAAGGCTATGGCAACGGTGGATATTTTATCGAATAAACATTTATTAAGATTTTTTTTTTGTAGCAATTACAATCGATACGAAAAAGTATTTTTCTTGTATTGATAAAGCAGTAATTTAGGTTGAAGATTTTGATTGTATATATAAACCTTCATTTAAATAGTAGAAGAACTAATTATATGGAAATTTGACAAATCATAGTGAGTCCGTATATATATACATAGGCCTTGTTAATTTAAATTAAATCACTTTAATAGGGCAAGCCAAAAATTGACTAATTTGAATTATGCTATATGAGTGAAATTATGTTAAAGAGCTGCTTGGCCGCACCCATTAATAAGACAGAATCTATAATAATTTACATAGTCAAATGAGGTTTCACTTAAAAACCATATGGCAATAATGTTGAATTACTAGCCTCTTAGCTTATATAGTGGTATATTTTATGCAAGACCCAATCTACTCAAATTTCAATCCAACCATAAGTAATGTACTATTTGTGGGTGTCAGATCGGCAGGCCGTCTCTACATAGTCTGTAAAATCTCAAGGAAATCACTCTAAACCTTAAATCATATTTATCGACATCACTGCCTGTTACGACTCTCCATACACCAAACAAAAAGAGATGATATTTTGATATTTTTGTTGGTTGTCTTTTCCATGAAGGCACTATCATATATTTTATGTGGACACTGTAGAAACATGCAAGTAATCCATCTACTTGCTTCTACATCCATTCTCCAAACCGTGAACTCAAATTAAAGCCAAATTTCTGCTTTCAATAACTTTCACATAACTTTTCCTGTCTTTCTATCCTCAACTTTTTATTTTTAAGCCTTTTCTCGTGATCAAAATCGCCAAAAAGTACCCTTTTGTGTTTAATCTTTACTTTCTATGTTAGCTTTCCATCGTTCTCGATCTATTATATGATGGTTGGTTTCGATCTCGTGATTTTCGTAATTTGATCATCAGTATCTTAAGCCTTACTAACCCCATATAAAATTTTCTTGTACATTCTTCAAATATCCAATTTTTTCTAGTGTTTTTCATCAATTTTTACATAAAACAACTAATCATATCATGGCACCAAGTAAACTTGCAACATCATCAATGGATAACCTCCAAAGAACAAAATCCGACATTTCGAGTGTATTACAACATATAATGGATCAAGGGAATGATGATGATCCTGCTTCAACCGGCCTCCCTACATTATCTGAAGTCGAGCTAGCAAAATGTGAGTGTTGTGGGATGAGTGAAGAGTGCTCGGGCGAGTACATCGAAGAGATGAGGAAGAAGTACTCAGGGAAGTTGATATGTGGATTGTGTGCCGAGGCAGTGAAGGAAGAAATGGAGAAGAATGGCGGTAAGACGAGGGAGAAAGCGTTAGAAGTACATATGAATGCTTGTGTAAGGTTTAATAGACTAGGCAGGGCTTACCCTGCTTTGTATCAAGCTGATGATGTGAAGAAGTTGTTGAAGAAAAGTAATAGTGATAAGGCTGCTAAGGGTGGTGTTCCTCCTAGGAAGGGTGGCCTCGCTCGAAGCTCGAGTTGTATACCTGCCATTACTAAGGATATGCAGGACAAATTGAGAGTGTAATCCATGGATACATGCATGATTGAAGTTGTCAAGGAATGTTATTGTAACTTTTTTTTTGAGCAACAGGAATGTTATTGTAACTCTGTAAGTTAGATTGTTGAAATTATGTGATGAGATATTGTGTGTTGTACTCTTACTATAGTATTCCTTCTATTTTGAAATAAATGAATGTTGTATGTAACTATTTTTCAAGTAAACACATCACTTTCATTTTTTGATAACTTATGTAATATACTCCTTCTGTTCCATAATAGTATTGATACAATCAATCTTAACACACTTGTCAATTAAATATTTTGAACCTTTTTTTTTTTTTGAAACACACTATTTTGAACCTAATTATTAATTATTAAACATTACTAGAAATTATTTAAAAAAATTGATATTATAAAACTTTACATTAATATATAGTTATTTTAAAACATGTTACAAGATTAATTTTTTTTTTTTTTTATTTATTATTACGTTTAGTAATACTTTGTTTATGAATAGTAAAAGAGAGAGTATTTTACATCGATCCTCTGTATTATATTGTCCTTCTTACTTTGACTAGTTCTATCACACAAAAAGATTTAAAAGTAAGGCTAGAATTGAAGAACGATATGAAATGGAAGAAGTTTTATATTTTTACTAATGTGTAAAACCAAAACACAAATTTAAGAATATAAATAGTCAAAGTTTTGCCTAACTCTTACATACTTGTCCTAAATGCATGAACGGGACGAGTAAAAGTATGCCCTATGATCCTTCTAATAATTGTGTATTTGTGTTTACTAAACATGGGGCAAAAGGTAGAAGTATAATTAGCTCATAACTTTCATATTGGATTTGTATTATAACTCCTTAAGGAAGTAGTTAGTTTCCATTTCAAAATAAATTTTATTTGTTGTATATCATATCAATTGTTCTTGTGTGTTGTATGTGAGAAACTGAGAAAGTATAAATATATATGAAATTCATTTTTCACACCGAGCAATATGAATTGTTGTTTACATCCATGTTTTGCTTTATTATAACTAATTTTTGAAACCGATTTACAATTGCATCAAGATGACTTACAATCTGTTAGGTTTTACAGCAATTCAAAACTAAGAATTATTTGAAATTTGTAGGAACAAAACCTAAACCGTGTATAATCACAATCAAATTATACAACAATAAAATACTAATCAAAGTATTACAACCAAACACCAAAATAATAATGTATTTCAGAAAATACTAAGAAAAACACTAATGTAAAAGATTCTAAACTTGCCTCAACACCAAGCCTTGAAGATGAACATGAACATGAGAAAACTTATGACCACTCGAGTCTCAAACCTTGATACACTGTTAAAGGCGTGTATACACTTTCCTAAAGAGGTTTATTTCCCCCACATGGTGCTTGGGTTAAACCGAAAATCCTCTTTGAGATACAATTGACAGCAAACTTCGTTCTTAGCACTAGAATCGAAGAACAATGAATAATTCACGATGAAGGCTAAAATTCAAGAGTTTTCTCACAATAGTTTGCAAGAAGATTGAGAGAAAAATGTGGAGAATTACTTTTTGGAGAGAAAGAGTAAAATGTTGTGTCCCCTTTCTGATCTTCACAAAATTCTCTTTAATAAGAGAAATAACCGTCAGTAAATAATCGCAGAACTGGGAAGTAGCGCGGGCGCGACACGAATTGGCGAGGGCGCGCCTCCGGGGGGGCGGGTGCGCCAACTATCCGCGAGGGCGCTCCTCCCAAAAAACCTGCGAGATGAACTTGAAGTCAGCGAGGGGCGCGGTTTTAGCGCGGTCTGCAGCGCGGGCGCGCCCCCCACTTTCATCCAACATGCTGATTTCCAGAAAGGTGCGCGGTTTAGGCGCGCTCTCATCGCGGTCGCGCCTACCTTGCGCGGGCGCGCTTAACATGGGCGCGAGCGCGCACCATACAACACTCTAATTATCAACACATTCAAGAATAAATCTTATTCTTAAAAAGCAATTAAAGTGTCAATTAACAATCAAAATGACTAAAACCAAAGATTAATTTGGTATAAAATCAGAATCTAACATCTAAAAACCCAAAATTTTAACACTTATATACAAAACATATCATCTAAACAATAAGTAAATCGGAAAAAAAAAAAAAAAAAAGTCAGAAAAAGCTGAGTTGTTGAGAGTGATAGCTTCTGTTTAGGCAGGATAATTATCATTAGGCGGGATTAATTTCAGTTAGGCGTCAACATTAGCCTAAGCAATTAATGATAACACAGATTAAAAAAAAAAAAACCTTATTGAAATTCATCGTCTTCTTCCCCAAAGTAAGATCAGAGAAAAAGTTGAAGAACACTTAAATTTTTTGAAATCAACACTTAAATTTTCTGGAAATAAATAAATTGTTAGAGAAGCGATTTGTCGTTTGGGCGACCAAGATATGTATGTATCTTTGTTTTTTCTACTCGTATATGCTTTTGCCTTGATTTTATCCCCAAATTGAAATTTACATATTTTTTACAATCTAGGGTTTCAAGGTTTTGTATTATAATTTATAATGTTAAATTTCAAAAAGTTAGAATTGATTGGTGAAATTAATTTCGTTGTTTGTGTTATGTAATTTGGTTTATTTAGATTCGATTCATTATCTAAGTTTGTAGCCCAATTAATGAATTAATCCTTATTAATCCTGTGTGTTTAATATCGTTCTTCTGTAGAAATAAGAATAATTTTTAATATTGTAAACTCTGTTATTCTTAATGTCTAGTATTTATTTTTATTTAGAGCATCTGAAATATATTAAAAGAATCTAAATTCATTAGTTATGAATGAAATTTTGGCAGTGAAATGGTTGGCGAAAATCAGTCATCCCATGTCAATTTTGAAGAGGCACATAATGAAGTCATGGGTAATTTGAATCAAGGTGATGATCAGGATGGTGATGAAAATACAAATTCGGTTAATAATAATGCTGATGGTGGTGATCAAGAAGTTGATAATAACACAAATTGTATTTGTATTGATAATTTTAAATAAAAAATTTTGATTTTTTTTTTTTTGAAATGTATTGTGTGCTAGGAACATGATGATGAAGGGGAAGCAGGTGATTTTGGTGAAGCCAATCCAATGAATGGTGATGCAGGCTCATATTATGGAGTCCCTTTGCAATACTTTAATGGTAACTGTAGGTCTGGGTATGTTAATTATGGGTCGTATGATCCTCGGAGGTTTTAGGAGCATAATCCATTGGGCGCAGTTAATCAAAGCCACTATGGTCAGATATACCCTAATCGAGGGACCACAATGAACTTAGTAACTTACCTTCTGGTGGTAGAGGTGATCCCAGGTCAAACACCATGAATTCGCAGCATTGTACGCAATACGGCATGTCACAACATTCGAATGGTATTCAGCACGTTCATCCAATGTTTCTGCGATGATTTTGCATTAGGTGGTAGCTGAGAGATCGTGCACTTCATATTAGTTGAGGCTTTAAGTTTTTATAAAGACTATGATGCTGAGGACGAATTTCGTTCTGATCTCCGTAATTATTCTATCTAGTGCCTTTATTTATTTATGGATTTATGTGCCTAATTATTCTATCTCCCTAATTATTGTAGATAGAAAAATAAATAAAATTGAATATCCTAGTAATTAGTAAACGAACAAACCCAAACTTGATGCAAAATGGATGTATATATTAAGTTCTTTAAATTAAATTTGGCCAAAAAAAAAAAAAAAAAAAAACAAACAAACTTAGTAGGAATCGAACATGGGTCTATAATGAAAAATTCACTATAACAAACCATCTAAGCAAGGGGTATATCAAACATTATAATAATTTTATTTTTATATTATCTATGGTTCTTGATCTACAAAAGGTATATCAAACGTGTGTATATATATATATATATAAACGTAATTTTTTTTTAATAATTTCAAAAATAGTTCTTGATCAAGAAATGCTATAACAGTGGTTATCTTTACAGAAAAAGAGTTCATGATTAAGAATGTTATAAAATGGTTATCTTTAAAAGTTTAAAGAAAAAGAGTTCATGATAAGAAATGTTACAATGGTTATCATAAAAGAAAAATAGGTCATGATATTAATAATTAATTGGATGTCACAACTTATGCATATAACAAATTAATTTTGCTTAATTGTTGTGGTATTTAGGCAAAGGGCTTATTTGTTGAGAGGTTATGGTTAAATTGTTTATAATGGTGAATGATTGCATCATCAAAAATGTCATTGAAGGGTTTTGGGTTTAGGGTAAAGGGTCTAGGGTTAATTTAGGGTGATTTATAATAGTATCTAAATCTTTTTTATAGGGTCCATAAAAACATCGCTTGTCGCTGGTGAGAAAGATTCCACAGCATTGATGTCGTCATAGAAAAATGATTAAACAGGATTTTTTTATATATTTTCAACTACGGTAAAAGTACAAGATCATAATCTATTAAACAGGTAGGGTCATTTATTTGTTTACGAATGTTGTTATCATGTTTTATTAATAAAATTACAAGTTACAACACTTAATAGTTTTTTTTAAAAAAAAAATAGTTCTAGATTAGATATGTTATAACAATGGTTATCATAAAAGCAAAGAGTTCATGATTTTAATAATTAATTGGATCTTATAACTAGGCATTAGATATTATATGAATTTTCAATGTCATATGCTTGGTTAAGAGTAAAAGATCAAACAATTTATCTAAGTACGTGATTTTATAGCTATAGTGTTTTCATCTTATTTATACATATGTTGAAATAATATGAATTAAAAACAATGTTGCTTAAATTTTTTGGTGTTTAGGGTTTACTGTTTATAATGGTGATTGATTGCATTATTAAAAATGTAGTTTAAGGGTTTAGGGTTAAGGATTAAGGGTTTAGGGTGATTGATAGCAGAATCTAAATTTTTTTATAGGGTCAATCTTTAATTACAGACATCCCTCGTCACTGATGACGTAAGATTTTTCTTCATTGATGTCGTCATAAATATATTAGTCAGCAGGATTTTAAGATAAGTTAATAATTTCGCAATTATTGGGTGGCGCATTAGCATCCATTTTTCAACATGAGTAATTAGTTACAATATTATATCATATTAAAAAGGGTCATTTTTGGATTAAGGAAAACATATTAGTTAGCTTATAAGATTATTTGAAAGAGTTTATCTCAATATGAGTAATTAGTTACAATATCATATCCTTAAATGTTTGAAAGGGTTTCAAATCTGTAAAAGCATGGAGTTTGTAAAATATATT